TTTAAGTTGGACATCAGGAGGCGCTACTTCACGGTCAGGGCGGCTAGGGTCTGGAACCAGCTTCCAAGTGAGGTGGTGCAGGCTCCCACCCTGGGGGTTTTTAAGAGGAGGTTGGATGACCACCTTACTGGGGTCGTTTGACCCCAGTGCTCTTCCTGCCATGGCAGGGGGTCGGACTAGATGATCTGCTCAGGTCCCTTCCGACCCTAGATACTATGAAACTATGAAATACTTGTGCTGGGTTCTGAACGAACTGTTATGACTCAGGAAAGAGACCTTGGAGTCATTGTAGGTAGTGCTTTAAAAATGTCAAGTCAATGTGCAGCAGTGACCAAAAAAGCCAATAAAATGTTGGACATCATTAAGGAGGAAATAAAGCAAAATGGAAAACATCATTGTGCCATTATACAAATTGATAATGCATTCACATCTTCAATACTGTGTACCGTTCTGGTCTCTGCATCTAAACAAAGTTGTAGTAGAATTGGGAAAGGTACAGAGAAGGGCAACCAAAATAGTATGGAGCAGTTGCCATACCATATTTCTCCTTTATTATCCTTCTGGCCTTGTGACTCTTGTGTCAGGACCTATAGTCAACAAAAAGGTTGGGGAATGCCTTCACCACATCAGGTATATGGTTAGAGTACTCTCCTGGAAAGTGGCGATTGAGATTTGAATGCCTTCAGAATAGACCTGTAACCGAAGTCTACCACTCCCTTGGCAAGTTTTGCAGCCAGTAGGCTATCAAACAAAATGTCTGCACCGTAACCACCATTTCTGAACTAATTTGTTGTTGAGGTGAATTAGATGTGCTCAGACCATACCAACAGGCAGAATCCATGCATGTGGTTGGGTTCCTTGCATGCAGTAGCAATTGAGCTTCTGTGGAAGTAAGAACATAGGGGTGCTTGTACATGTGACGGTGGTTTAACCCCCTAAATTGAAATGGTGTGTTTTCAGTTGTGATGAGTAAAAACCCACTGTTTCAATTTGAGGGCTTCTGTCACTGTTACAAGGAGCCTGATCCTTTTCTCCCCTCACCCCACCCTGCAGAGCCTGCCCATGTCTCTTGCGGCAGGGGAGGGGATGAGCTGCCAGCAGGTCCTGAGCTGCAGGAGGCCCCAGTCCTTCTTTCTGCAGCAGTGGTGCCCCCCAGGGCTGACAGGGTGGGCTGCCAGCAGATGGCTGCTGCCCCAACTTGGGCAGCACCCACCCACTAGCTGCCCACCCAGGCAGCCCTGGGGGTGCTGCCACAGTGGAGGGAAGGACTGGGGCCTTCCTGCAGCTCAGGGCCTGGCAGCAGCATGCTCCCCCGCCACGGGAGAGACAGGCAGGCTCCGGGGCGGGTGGGGGAGATTGGGCCCCTTGCCACTTTTTTTTTTCCCCCCAGCGGAGTCTGCTCACATGAGCTGCTGCTGGATTGAGCAACTATAGCAGTGGGGGGGGGCCTGGTCCTTCCCTCCACGGTGGGGCTGCCCGGGCAGGGTGCTAACAGGCAGCAACTGCCAGATCTAGCTCTTCCCCAAGCCTATGCACTGGAAGCCTGCCAGGCACCACTTCCCATGCAGGCTCAGAGAAGAGTTGAATCCAGTGGGTGCTGCCTGTGAGTTGGGGTAGCATCCGTGCAGCTAGCACCCCACCCAGGCACCCCCCGGGGTGCTGTCACTGCAAAAGGAAGGACAGCTAACAAGCCTCTCAGCCCAGCAGCAGCTCGCACAGGTAGGCTCCGCCGGAAAAAAAAAATGGTGAGGGGCCCATTTTTTGTTTGTTTGTTTTTAACTCCCATGGAGCCTGCCTTCTTCTCCCATGGGCGGGGGGCAAGCTGCTGGTGGGCCCTGAGCTGTGAGGGGCCCCAGTCCTTCCCTTTGCCAGTTGCACTCCCTGGGGCTGCCCAGGCAAGCAACTACTAGGTGAGCCCAGGCGGACCACTGCAGAAGGAAGTACCAGGGCCCCCTGCAGCGCAAGGGCCACACAGCTGCTGGCAGCTCACACCCTCCCTCCCCCC